TTTGAGGATTTTATTTCTAGGTGATAATTGCTAGTATGAAAAAGCTATGTTTCCTTAAATCCTAGCTCGATGGGTCACGTGTCAAAGGCCATGTCATCTCATTTGTTGACTTGCAAAATTTTATTGAACTAATATTTTATGAATGTATGTCAATAAGTCTGGTATCAAATTGTAGATTATAATTCAAATTTTTGTGTTATACATTAGCTAATTTCTTAATTTAAAAGTAAATATTAAAAAAACACAGCTAAACATTGATTTTTGTGTGTGTCGTGGTATGTTGAATGCAGCACTGATTCAAATTAGATGTTTGTGATGTCAAAATACAAAATATACAGTTTCATACGAATTAGGAACTCAAACTATCGATATTGACAAACTAAAATATAAAATAAGAACATCTTATCTTTTCTATTTCTTAAAAAATCGCTCCTGTACAGAATCAAATAGTGGCCCCTCCGCCCACCTCTTTCCATTTTTAGAAATGATCTCTTATATACACCTACTTCTATATATGACATGAATAACCAATCGAAAGCTCAGAATGTCTCCCTAGTGGTTTTTTTTCAGTCATTTTGGCATGTTATTGTAATAATTTCATTCTTTTCACACACGATTTCAAACAATGAGGTAAGTCTTTAGTGAGGTTGAAATTTAATATTTTTTTAGAACCAGATACAGCCTAGTTACTATGCTTGATAAATTATAGTGGAATTCTATGGTATTGATGTAGTAATTTATGAATTTTTTTGGTTATTTAAAATGTATATATGATACATAAAAAAAAATTCTTTTTTACATCCTCCACATGGAAAACTTCATAAGGCTTAGCAACCTACAACAAGCGGCAACTGAGTACAAAGGTCGTAACTAGAAGAGATAATTGTTTACTTTACTTTATTTACTGTTCTGTGTTTTAAGAAAAATAAGTTTAAGAACTTATTTGTAAATACAAATAATGTATATATAATGTATAATATATCAAATGTGAATGTATTTTTACAAAATACTAGTCCACTAAAATACAGCCAAGACAAGTTACTTTGTAAAGACTAAAGGTCAGTTATATATTATTGGATATGGTAACACGAGTGCCGCATCATTGTCACTTCTATATTGTTAGCAGGCACGGTTGGAAGGTCAATATTATAATAATAATAATAATAATAAATATATATAAATGTATAACATTATAAGATTTAAGGTTGTTAGTCTAAAATTTTGTGTTATAATTTGTAGTCATTCTACAATGAAGAATGAAAAAAGCATAATTTATATATTTTTCCTAATTTTTATTGAGGTTACGAAATTGGTCATATCGAGCCAACTCATACAGAAATACATTAGTGAAAATAACAAATATAATAGTTTTTTAAACAAAAGATTTCATAATTATCTGGAGATTGTAAAAATTTTGCATGTGAAATTTGAAAATGTTCTAATGCATTAAAGTATTTTTAATCTTAAAATCAAAATTGCTTTAGAAGTTGGATAGTCAACGTTCTGAAAGAAAAAGGTTTATGAGAAAATCTTTAATTAAAAAATCTTAATAATTAATTTAAAAACCTGATATTTTGTGTATGTAAACCTTGTAATATTTACCAGTTACCTGCAAAATTTTGTTAAGATGTGCTTACATTGTGAAAAAATCATAGTATAATTACTCTCATGGATACTAGTTGGGTGGATTCCACTCAGCCCATAATGGAAGGGTCAATACTGCAACATTTTAGACATATTTGTAAATATAACAGTTGGGGAATACAACAATACTATATTTAGACATTCTGCACCTTTGGTACTCAAATGTGCCTGTCACATCAGTCATCAAATAATATTCTTCTCCTTCAGAAGAAATTCTCTGAGAAGAACCTTGAATTGGTGAATTAAATAAGTTATACATGGAACATTAGTACCTGTGATATATGCTTTGCTTTATCAGTGTCTTTTAGGACTTAATTTTATTAGCCTTGATACAAATATGCTTACTTAGAATACATACATGTATACATTTGGGCTAACTGTAGTATCTGTGTCTTACATGGTGAGATGCCATGTGGTCTCATGAAAACATTAAAAGTTAGACTAACAAGAAAGTTCTGTTCATGTTGTCTTTTTTTTTGGAAGTGTGCCATGTCCTTGACTGGAAGTTTGGGACCTGAAACAAATGTCCTGTTTCAGTTATTACACTGTAAATGTTGTTCAAATTGACATGGTAGCTGTATTCTACACATTTTATACAATTAGTAGATTGTTTTAAACTTAAGTGTTTTAAAACAGAACTATATTATTAATAGTGAGGTCTGATATTCTTGAATTCTGGTTTCTAAAGTATTTGAATGATAATTAATTATTGATAAGTGATAAACTTTAGATGTAATTTTCTTCCAAGATTTATTCGATTGTAGAAAACTTGTAAAAATGAGTTCATTGTTATGACTAAAGAAACACAAAATGTGTAAATGTTTATGAATTAATGTATTGTATTTTAGGTATCAAACTAGATGTCATTAATAACGTTATCATTTCAGCTGGGATTTTTTCTTGGAAGATTAGAATTTTACTGAATAGGGTGGTTTATGATATTGATTTTTTTACAGGAAATAAGTTGTTTTATTAATAGCTTTAAGTTATAATAGTCACTGCTTAACTCTGTGTGGTTTCTTTGTGTATAGCTTGAGGATACAATAATGACTACTTAACTTGAATAGCCTTCCAAGTAATATGATAGTTTCATAGAAACTCTTATAGTTCTTTTGCTGTGAAGGAGAAATTTTTAGTTATAAATTGAAGGTTTCTAGATGATATTGATGTTAACATCTTATGTAAAAACCTTGAGACACAAATACATATGATGATGACGACATTAACATCTTACATATGAAGGCATATTGATCAGATTCCAACAATATAGAGATGCAGTTATAGTCTTATGATAAAGTTGTGAAAGATGTATGTAATTTTTCTGTTTAAATAAGTGTTATTTTTAATACCAGACCTTGTCACTTATCACTTAGAAATACTGTTATAGTACAATATTTTGATACTCAAATTAACTATCATGAAACTATTAACAAGCAATTAAATTGTAAAAAAGGAAATTTTACAAGAGAAAGGTTTAGGGAGATGAGAAGGAGTGGAAACTAACCCAACATGTACATATGAATACTGATCTGTATTTCTTTTTCATTTAGATTCTTCCGTCTGTGATAATCTCTCAGTAGAGGTACTACTCTTTAACAGGCCAGGTTGTTAGGGTGCTCAACTTGCAACTTGTGGGTCACAGGTTTTGAATCCCTCTCACCAAACATGCTTATCCTTTCAGCCATGGAGGCATTTTAATGTGATGGTCAGTCCCACTATTCATTGGTAAAAGAGTTGGTGGTGGGTGGTGATGACTAGCTGCCTACGCTCTAGTCTTACACTGCTAAATTAGGGACAAAGTGTCTTCAAATATTGAAGGAGAGAAACTTTCAAAATGTGAATAAAATCCAAAGAAAGTATACCCTGGTATTACCATGGTAACAAACTACTGATGTTGAAACAAAGATGAAAGTGTAAGCCATATTCTTTTGTTATGAATTTTGTGCAAAGATACATGAGGGCTATCTGCACTAGCTAATGATAATAATTACTAACCTTTCAACAAACTTATAGGCAACAAATGGTAACATTCTACCAAAACAATAAAAACTGAAGATTTTGTTCTTACTATTGTAAATCAATCGTGCTCACATAGGGTATGAATAAAGAAAGTTTTCGTTGGAACATCTAACATAACAGATGAAGCATTTCATTTTTAAATTTTTTATGGTTTATTCTATTTAGGAACAACAACAGAAAATAATTTCTTCTAGGCATTTATTTAATGTTCTCAACTTATGCTTCAGAAAGCTTTTTGATTTCTTGGTATCATAAAGGTTCTGTATAACATGGTTTTAACGTGTGGTTAAAATGTTAGCAGTTGTTAGTAGTGTGGTTAAGTGTGTCACCAATTGTTAGTTGTGTGGTTAAGTGTGTCACCAATTTTCAGTATGGTGTGGTTAAATTCCACTGTGTGTGTGTGCGTGTCAGTATGGTGTGGTTAAATTCCCCTGTGTGTGTACGTGTGTCAGTATGGTGTGGTCAGAATAATGTCTACAGTTTTTGGTTAGAAACCTTGGCTGTTATTACCATTTAGTATTTGTGTAGTTATTAAACGTACATAATGAAATTTTTGTTTTTTCAATTTATTTATATGTTAAATGCTGATTTAAAGTTTCAGTCATGCTGAGTTAAATATTAATTAAAACAAATAACAAAGATACTTATAGATAGTTTAATATATGCATACTGAACATTGTCCACTACTGGCTCATCGTTAGATCTCACTTTAATGATATATTGTAAAATACTGATTGTGAGAGAGTCGTATTCTTAAGTGAAACCATATGTTTCTAACTAATTACTAAGCCACATGTCGACGGATTGCCGTTTCCAAGCCTAAGTTACCACATCTTTACCAACGCAGTGCTATAAAACATGTACCTGTAAACACGCTACTTTGACGTTTCTTGATTATCATGATTATGTAAAATAAAACAATATTTATATTCCGTGGCACAATGTTACAACCAGCCAACCATAAAATCGATTTTAAATACTCAAACTCGGCGAAAACAACCCCTCTACTCCGCCCGTACTTGGAACACGGGAAACTGCTTGTAGAATAAATTTCAACTTCTGCTGGTGCGTATCCAACACGCTGCTCTCGAAGGATGCTTGGAATTGTACGTATTTACGTGTCGTCTCCCTTAGAAACACTTCCAAGAGCGGGTCCTTTTTTCTGGATATATTTAACAAGGAAAGATGAGAATTTCCGTAGCGCTTATTAAAAAGATTTGTTGTGAAAACAAAGAATTAAATGATTTTGAAGTAGACGTTCCATAAAATAAATTAAGTTTTGAGTTGTAGATAATTTGTGTTATTGTATTTCGAACTTAAGTTTGACTGTGTCAAAAGTATTATACATTCATTGACTTTAATCTAAACCGTTTAGCTCGATTAAGCCTATTATACTAAATTGAAGATTTTGTTTTTCAACTTTGCCCTCGTTAAGCATTATTTTTCTGACTGTTTAGCTGGGATAAAATGTGTGTCAAGTTCTCAGTTACAACAACCTCGAAGCCCTCGGCCTGTACTACATATTTGTTTTGACGTCAGCTTGTAATTTATTTTCTGTAAACACTTGAAAAGTTACCTTCAGCGTACGACACATGCGCTATCAGGAGGATACTTGCTAATTTATGCATGAAAACTGAGACAAAAACAAAAAATTAAGCATGGATACTGTTTTATTAGAGTTCACTACCATGTGAGCACGTGATATCCCTGTCGCCGACTCTCCTAGGACTTTTGTTCTCTTATTCTTCCGACAGTCTGAAATAACCTTCTTACAGCCAGTGTATAAATTGTGCTTGTTTATGTGTGTTCTTTTTTTTTCGAGTGTATCCAAAGGTCGTTCTAGCGTATTTAGTCGACACTACTTTTGTGGAAACCAGTTAGTTTAGTCTGTGTAAAACTAGGCCAAAGGTATAGAAAAGACAGAATGTTATAATATACTTTGGGCTGCATATCAAAGCGTTAATTCTGACGAAAACAGAATTAACCTTTTCTATAAACGAAACTTTAACAACACCATCGTCACTTTTAAAACACTAGCTGCTGGTTTGCTGCTCATGATGGGGCTACCCCATCTTTGGTTATTCCTGGTTTAACTCTCAATACGGAGGAAATGAAAGAATGTTGATTATGAATTTTGAAGTCAACGGGGTATTGTATACTGTTTGGTAAGTGTGTATGGCTGGTACTATAGTGTTTCAAAACTTGTAACATTATTTTCGTGTTTCTTTGAGCATTAATTTAAGTATCATTTTTATGTATATTTATACCCGTTAATAATACTTAACATAAATAAATAGCGTGTTAATAGTATTTTATTTTTGATAATAAAGTTCTATCAATATTAGATAAGTTTTCGTATTTTGGCCTGTTTTGTGTGTAATTAGATGGCAAGAATTACAATGTAAGGCTTTGTGGATGACCTGGGGGATGTTTTAGAACACTGATAGGTCAACTATTGTTTTTACTGTGCTAATGTCATTAATACTGGCGCCAAAACACTTATGTCTGCATACTGTACCAGATTGTTTGTGTGTAAGTATTGATGGGTCGATTTTATAGTTTTTTGAAATATTGGAAACTAGCAGATGCCCGTTGGAACAATTCAACAGTAAATTTCCTAAAAATTGTGATGAATAAGAACATGCACAGTCAACTAATCCCTTGGATCAGAGCGTGCATGCAATATAAGCGTTTAGTCAGCCGTTTACAACCGTATTGTCATTTCATGTATTATAACTGTAAGGAAAATTGTATTGCGTTTGTTTTTAAGCAAAGGAGACTGACTGCATTGCAGTGTTGGAAAAAATGTTTGAGTTTGGATGCACCCATTGCATCCAGCACAACAGAGCGCTCAGGTTCGCTAAGTAGCCGTGGGGATTTTTTTTTGCCGCTGGATGCCACCGTTTCTTGCCATTTACTGAGCGCAAGAAAAGATTGCTACTGAAGTGAGCAATTTTTGACAGTTATCGTTTCTATAGGAAGTGTCAAAGAGGAGACATTCTATTCAAATCAATTTATTCGACATGCTACAATAAAATCATGTACGTGTATGTATCAAGATGAGTAAAAAATAAACAGAACAACAACAAACACATTCCTCTCTTTCCGCGTTCTTTCCGTTCATGCTTCTATCTTCGAAATATTTCTTTCAATCTGTCTATGGAGGAAATCTCGTTTTTTGTTGTTTTTTTTGTGTAATACCCTTTTGTTCTTAATAATTTTTTTTTTCTGGTTGGATTGATAGTTCAGCACATACAAAGACTGACAGATGGATGTTGATATAAATATGAAAGTTTAGGAATTGAAAAAAATGAATAATTTACTCTATTCAATTTACTCTTGTAAATGAGCATTTATATATATTTCAAGGATTAATTGTTCAGGGGATAGTGACAAAAAGACATATTGGACTATTATATATATATACATACATACGAGAAACTGCTGTATGTACGAGTGACAATAGCTAGTGAGAATAATTAATTTTAAAGATAGTTTATTTGTGTAGTTTGGATTATGATGAACGGTAATTACACTAAACGTAGAATTTGAAGAAATGGAACCTTTATCTTATCGTTAACCTTCCCAACAGTAGTAGTCGTTACAAACATGTTTCTTCCTAAAAATGTGTACACCAATGGAACAAATACTTTTAAACTATTAAGTATTAATAAGAACTATATTTTAAAAAAATTCACGCAAGTTTTTATCGGTTGCACATAGCAAAACTTTTATTTCATTCACAACGTTTCACCAGGTTTACCTGGTATCATCAGGTGATAAAAGAACTAAGGCTATGTTGTAGAATTTTGAAACTCTGGTGCAGTATTAAAGGAAAGAGTCACGGCT